GGATGCATAGGAATACAAAAATGATGTGTGGGGATACCTAGTGATACGTAGTGAGATATCGTGGAGAATGGAAAATACAATGGCAACTAATACATAGTTTACACGGGATTCTTCAAAACTGCTTGGTGGAGAGGTGCAAAGGGTACATCACGCAAAGGTCCCATATTGCAGGATGCGACGGGATGCCAAATCGCAAGCCCGTCACCATCAGCGCTTAACGGCATTCCCTTAAAGAAACCCATTCGAAGACCTCAATTGCCCATTGCACACAGGGACGTGTCTGTTGAGAGCTCCCAAATTGTGCTCTGTCTTCTGCGAGCTTAGAGCCTATGTGTAAACTAGGAAGCCATGATGTAGGGCTTATCAGGCTTAGGGACTCTCCATCTACCCGGCATGTTTGGACCCTAAACATCAAACCCTAAACCCAGGGCTCTATACTGCAGACCTTTGTGCCCCAACTAGACAAAAACACTGAAATCCTTTAGGATCCTAATCCCTTGCATCATTCCCTGTCCCAGTAACGGTCCTTGAAGGAGCCCTACTACCCAGACCCTGCTATGTAGTTCCATGTTGGCTGCTCTGTTAGGATCCCTTACCAAAAAAAACCATAACAAACCCCCAAAAAAGGAACTCCATAGGAGTCCTTGGGTAAGGGCCTATTTTCTCTTCCATAGCCTTCGATGGTAAGTGTGACTGTAAGGGGGAATGACCTAACTACTGCTCCAGGTTAAGGGCCCTTAAAGGGGGGGTTTCGGGTTTAGGGTTTAGGATTTCAGGGCTTAGGGTTTAAGGTTAAGGATTTACTGGTTTAGGGTCTAGGGCTCGTTAAACCGGCAACAATGGGTATCGGGGCCATAGGGAGGGTCGGAGGGTCTTGCTAAGTTAGGGCTTTCAGTTCCCGGGTATGTGCAACGAAAGCCCATGTACCCCAGATTTTGAAATAGACTGTAGTTGTCTCTGCAGGGCCGCACTTACTTTATGTATGGTTTAGGAGTGTACTGAGTGTACTGAACATTTGTTCAGGCACTGGACGACTCCTACTAGAGATAAACGCATTCTTGCGATCTCGGTCCAAACACACCTGAAAAATACCAATATGTTGTTAGTACCATACACCATAGGTAACAAGGGGTGTGAACCAAAAGAAAGGTAATCACTACTTCTCCCTTGCCCTAGTGGCTTGTGATACAACCACCCACCCACGACAACAAGAACCAGCCTTCCCAAATGAGCCATACTCTAAACTCCTTAAAGGGGGATATATAAGGGATTACATAGGTACTACTATAGGGGTTATTAAGGTGGTACCAGTATCTGATGAGGGGGATACATTTCTACTTTGGGGAGCTATTCTTATCAGGGGGAGGTGATAGATCATTGCAGCTCCCACCCTAGACCGTAAACCCTGGAATGTTCAGGGCTTAAGGAACCCTAAGACCGAAAACTGGCACCACGGAGGCATGGCGCCTATAGATCTGAAACTGATTTCTCAGCTCCTGCCAGGCTTCAAGTTTGAACGGTTTGGCCTCAGGTTTCTAGGCTGGCCCCTAAAACCCATTTAAACATGTTAGTATATAGGGTCCCCTATGAAAGCCATTAGGGACAATACTAAAATATCCCAGGATCCTACCCAGGTTTTATTAAATCAGCTTGGGGGTGTAGGTTTTTAGATGTGCGGTTGAGGGGGGAGATTTAAGGCTTTAGGGGCTCACAGGCTTCGGGTGTTTTCCTTGAAAGGCTGGGCAAAGGAGCCAGACCAATAATTAGATCTGATTAACGAAAATATCAACAGCATCATCGCCGACGACGATAAGGATGAGGAGGAGGCGGAGGAGGAGGAGGAGTAAGAACAAGCATGCTGAAACAGCATGTTGCATGAGAAGATGGGTCTTCAGCGAGCACTCGCTACACAAATGTACCAGAGGTTGCCCCAGTCGGTTCACGAGAGATAAGTGGCACTCTGCCGGAATTACTGTTGCAAAATGGTGGCAGATACGCCGATAACTACGAAAGATGGGACAGGCACCGCTGTAAACCCTGAGCCCTCGCCCAAACCTTGGACCCTACCCTGAACCCAACGGACACCCCCAAACCCTGGACTTGTCAAGGCCCGAGACCTCAAACTGTCCGCGCTCCACAGAATGGGTATTCAATGTTGGGGGGCTGGTGGAATTGATTAGGTGGAAAGGGCTTCAATACCCAAAGCCCAGACCCTCAACCCACAGGCCCAAACTCCAGCGCCCTAAACTCTTAAATATCCCAAACCCTAAACCCTATGATCCTCACGTATTATAATCATTAAGCCCTTCGCAAGTCCTTATAAAGCTGAAGCCCAAATTCTAAACACCCAAAATCCCCCCAAACCCCAAGCCCCTAGACCCTAAACTTTAAATCCTTAACCCTAAACCCTCCCAAACCCTATACATCCCTCTATACCTTTATGGAACCCCTATCTCCCCCTTTGAAGGTACCCTGGCGGTCTCCTCGATCTGAGTCTCGGAGTCCGCTTGAAGCTCCGAGAGATCGATGTTGGCGGCATCGAGGGTGGAGTGTCGCTCCACAATCTCCTGGAAGAACTTCAGGATCTAGGGATTAGGGTCTAGGGATTAGGGATCAGGTTTCAGAGTTTCAGGTTTCAGGATAAAGGTTTAGGGGTTCAGTTTCAGAGCTTAAGGGATTCGTCCTAGGATTTGGGGCTGCGCAATCTCGTAGAGACGCTTTTGTAATGGAGTTAAGTTACGATAATGGCAAATCCACTGGACATGGACATGGAAACTGAGAGCGTGAGAGCTTTTCGGCTTCTCATAGGAAGTTGCGAGGATTTAGGGTTTAGGGTTTGATGGCGTTGTACAGGCTTTATAGGGCTTAGCTACCCTAATGGAGGCTCAAGTGAAAAAGAAAGTGGAAAATGCCATCGGGACGCAGGACTTGAGGATGTATGGGCTTAGTATGGTTTAGTGGTCTTCTAGGACTATAACCCTACATAACCCTATATAGCCCTGTATAGCGCGAGGGTTTAGGGTTTAAGCTTATTAAATGTGTTGGGGCTCAGACTTGGGGCACCGAGAGATGTGGGCTTAAGGCTCACAGGTTTAGGATTTCAGAGAAGGACTTGAGAGTCTATAGGAGTATGTAGGGCTTAGTCTCCGTGACGGAGAACTTGTAACAGAACAAAACACGGAATATTACATTGGAACTGATCAGCCACAATCTCGAAGAGGGCCTTGAAGGTTGACATCTTTGGGGTTTAGGATTTCAGGATTCTGGGTTTAGGGTCTCGGGTCTAGGGTTTGGGGTTTAGGATTTGGGGGATTAGGATTGAGGTTTTCGAGATTCGGATTAGGCTTGAGGGTTGAGGTGTCAGGGCTTAGGGATTAAGCCTGTTAGGCCCAACTGCTAGGTGTTGGGGTTAGCATTGTTCAAGCTGCAGATACGCTTGGAGTACCCAGGCAAACATGGAGATTCGAGGCGACATGTAGGTTTAGGGGCTTAGGGTTTAGGGCTGGGGCCTAGGATTTTGGGGCCAGGGTGAAGACTTCGTGAAAAAGGTTTTTGGGCTCAGGGCCTAGGAGCCCGAAACCCTAAATCCCTGGACCTTACTCCAAACCGCATCCCGCTTAACATGCTTTCCAGATCAATGGGGGTGACAGCGGCCAAGGTAGGAAATCTTCACGGGACTGCAAGCTCAGTAAGGCAAACGTGAGCCATAGTCTAAACTCCTATCATTTCACTAAAGTCCCCCTATAATGTATTCAATGTTCCCCTATATAATCCCCTATATGACCCCCTTTTGGGGAGTTTAGACCCAAACCCTACACCCTATGTAATCCCCTATAAAACCCCGCCTGAAGGAGTTTAGACCCTAAACCCTAAACCCAATATAGTCCCCTACATGACCCCCCTTTAAGGAGGTTGGACTATAGCTCGTATGGCATCAAATCCCTCGAACATCCGTGGGCCTGCGGCCTGAGGGCCATTTTTGGGTTTCGACCCTTTTTGGGTTTAGGGTTTGAGTTTAGGGCTCAGGGTGTCGCGCATTTCTCAAAGTGTATGTGGAAATTTCTCAAGATGGAGCGCCCAAGAGACCCCAGGAATATATACGGATCATAAGGGAACTGTAGCAGTGATGATATAGCTCTATTTTCACAAAAATCTGCGTTTGGCTCCTTTCATATACGTCGAGCGTGATTGTTGGTACCACCCAATGGGACGCATGACTGTGCAAAGCCCCCCCGTGATTCAAGACCGGCTTCGAATTGCAACGACTTCGAATTGCATCGTCTAGCAATCCCCACAAGAACCCCTAAGCAACCTCTACCCCGAGCCGACACCAAATGGGCGTTGCTCCAACTTACAGACAGCCTTGAGAGAAATGCCGGCTCCTACACCCTATGTCCGATATCTGGCCCAGGCGGCGCAAAAAAAGAGGATGGATTCCATGTATCGAACTCAAGGTCATCTTCTTATCCATCTTTGCTGTGGGGCTAAGACCCTAACCAAACTGAACCTTATCGTTTTTTTTT